ATCTAACACCCCCTGTGTGTGCCAATCTGTTGTGTTCACTGCCATATCTCCAACCTTTAGAACAGTGCCCAGCATGTGGTAGGGCTGGTGGAATGAGTGCACGGGTCTGGCTGGGATCTATCTGGCTTGCCCTCCCCTCCTGTGCAGTGCTGGCTCTGGCCTATGGGGCAACCACGCTGACTTACCAGAAGCTGTGTGACCCTGAGCAAGTCACATACCCTCTCTGAACCACATGCCCTACACCTGGCAAACATAGATAATTATATCTACATTGCAAAGTTGAGGTGAAGATCAGGAATAATGCACGTTACGTACCTGGAATCTGCTCATGCTCATCAAACGGTAGCTAATAATTTCAGAAATCCTTGAGCTCACCTGACATCACATATTTGGCATCTGGAGCTCCAGCTATGTCCCAAGGGAGACCAAAATAAGTTCCTCACTCCTCCTTTAGACATTCAAGCTTGAGACACCCAACCCCACCCACCAGCTCACCTTGACAGCACACATAGCTGTATGCTAACCTTACCTTGGTGGCGATGGCAGACACTGCAGCGGTTCTCTTTGCAGTTATGACATTTCCATCCATGACCTTGGAGGAAAGGACAGACAGTCATCAAGGAGCACCCTTATCCACTACTTAAGCGGAGAGAGGCGCTCGAAAAGAGTAGCCCTAGGGAAGCGTTACAGTCTCCTACAAAGAGCGTGGATCTGATGTCAGGTCTGGATCCACTTAGGAGAAATGCAACTTTGAGCACTTACCTTAATCTCTAAGCACCGGTTTCCTCACCTGTAACAACAAAGCTAACGCCAGCGGCTCAGAGGGTTTTCGTGAGGGTTACATGCATCGCCATACATGAAAACATCTAGCACGTGGCAAGCCCCCAAGCATTACCCATTTTCTTTCCTCGCCCTGGGATTCTCAAATCACCACATGAAGAGGAACTTGAGGAATGAGTCACTTGACATCCGTGCAAGAGCCACAGAGCTCTCGCTCTCAAGTTCCGCCCCCGTGTAGGGAGATTTATGAAGATGCTCAGACTAGACCCTTGGATAAATTGAATGCGACTCTCTAGGGGTGGGACCAGACATCCTTGTTTTTAAAGGCTCCCCGGGTAACCAAATGATGCCTGGCCAATAACAACCACCATCCTTTGCGCTGCTCTCCTCTGTTTATAAGTCACTCGTCTCAGTCGATCGTCCCCAGGTAGTATCAGGATTCTCATTTCAGGGACAAGGAAGTGAATCATTTACGACTGAGCACGTTCAGGGAGGATCTAAGGCTTTGTCATTTTGTTTGAAAGTCTGAGCTGGTCCTAATTTCCTGGGAAACCACTGTTGGCAGGGCGTATGGATGTCATCGCCATCGGACAAGGACAGGCTGGGAAGCGCTACGTACTCTTCCCAGAGGAGTAATGAGCCGTCAGCTTCCTTGGGGAGCCAGAAATTCAGGAGAGAAGGAAGATCTAAGGATCCAGGGAGGTTCAGGTGGCATGAAGGAGATTGTCCCTGGTGAGGTCTCAACTGCCTGATGTCAGAACCAGCCTGGAGGGCACAGAGCCCAGGAGTTAAGAGTACAAGCTCCACAGTCAGGCATTCCTGGGTCTTTTATTAACCAGATGTGTGACCTCAAACAAAATGACTCTACTACGCTGAGCCTCTGGGACCTCAACAGAAAGTGTGTGTGTGTGGGGGGGGGGTTGTAATAAAAACTCCCCCCGAGGAATGTTGTCAGAATTGAATGAGATCGATTTCTCCTGCCTGGCACATGAGAAGCGCTCAGTATGTGGCGGTGAGAAAGGCAGAAGAGTACAGTGGTAAGACAGCACAGGCCCTGGATTTACACTGAGTAGGTCTGAAGTCCACCCGTGCCCCTTAGTCACTACATAAACCTGGGTAAGTTGGGCATATTTGCCTTAGGACTCAGTTTCCTCGTCTGCAAAATGGGGATAATAGTATGACCTACCTCATAGAGTGGCTTTAAGTATCAAGAGTCAGTTCATGTGAAGTGTTTAGAACAGCGATGACATCCAAAATGCTCAATAAACAGGGGCTACTGTTATTTTTTTTTACACTATCATTAAATGTTAAAATGGGTCACTGGGTACTCCTCAGAAAAGACTCCCAGGGATTACAGAGAGTCCCTTCCACGTTACAGAGAGTCACTCAAATGTTTCCTTGGCTACTGGGTTTGTTCAATCTGTGTATTGGGAATAACTGGTCTAGGACGAGAACGTATATAAGAATGACAAGATTGTCACTTCCACATGTCACACACAGTTGAAGCAGCTCTGGTGCTGGGTTATGCATCTTCAGAAAGTCCTAGAAACAGATATGTGGTCACAGATAGCCATCACTGTCACCGGTATCCAGTCACTCAGAGTGGGGCATGTGTGGTCAGAACAAAACTGCCCCCAGCTCACAGAGAATGACTTCCCGGCCTGGCTCTGGGCCCAGGGGCCCCACTCCACCCCAGGTCAGGGAGTTGCTCACCGCCAGAAGGGAGCCGTTGCTTGGCTCAAAGAGTAACACAGTGGCCTGGTGGGAGGGGACAGTGGAGGTGGTGCTGTGGCCCTCGTAGAAGGTGACCAACTTGGTGGTCAGGGCGTCCTCTGCAGCGCTGTAGGCGGGCATGACCCCCAGGAAACTGCAAGGAGAGGAAGCAGCTTTGACACCCCCCCACCACCACGACCACCAATGACATCCTCAAGTCCCTATATACCTTTTCTCTCTCCTCATCACTGCTCCCCTGGCCCTCTCCCTTACTCCCTGCTTCTGCCCTCCCCTTAGGCAGTATGCACAGTCTGTTCAAGAGGCTGGCTCCGGATGAGAAATGCCATCCTGGTTCTGACACCTACTAGCTGGGTAACCTTGGGTCAGTCACCGAGTTGAACTCGCCGAGTCTCCGTTTTGCCACCAGTAAGCTGACTGCACGAACACCTACCTACCCATAAAGGAGAGTGTGCGTGGGATTCAACACGGTGACTCCTGTGAAGCGCCCACTTGGCACAGTGGCGAGTACACGTTTTAGGTGGCAGCTGTTGTTAACAGCGATAAGACAAGCCCCCCCCCCTTTTCTCCCGCTGCTTCCCTCCCTTCCAGTGTCTCCAGCCCCTGGCCTCCCGCCTTCCTCACTCACCCCCTGTGCTTGGCCACCGGCACCACGGTGCGCACTGGCTGAGTGACCCCTCCGTCGGGACCGCTGGAGAAGTTGGCCAGAGCCGCCTCCAGAGGCGGGATGAGGAGGCTGGAGCTGCGCAGATGGTCCTGCACCTCGGCCGCACTCAGGAACGCGGGCGCCCAGCTCATCTCGCCGCCTGCCTTCTAACCTCCGCGTAGGCCCGGCGATCCCCGTTCCCAGGACTGCGCCGTATATGAGCGCACGCGGCCCTGTGGTGCCGCCTACTGGTCTCCTCGCAGCTCCGGGGGCGGAGCAACGCGGGTCTCCGCCCACCCCCGCCGGCCGCGGTGGGCTGGCTCTCCGGGTCCCCTCCAGCGACCGGTTCCCCAGGATTTTAGGTGAGGCGGTGGGCTGGGAGCTAGGATTCTTGGTCCACGTCCTCAATTCCTGCCATTAGCTGAAGTCACTGTCCTTGCGACGGGCATTGGCGCTCCACCTGGTCTCCGCCCACCAATCTTGCGGCTTGCTGTCTCTGGCCTCCTGCCTGGGAAAAAGGGGGCAGGGGAGATGGGGGCAGGGGATGGCGAGGCTCCTTATTTTTCTTAAATTATTGCCTTTTGCTAGGAGATCTTAGATGAAAGGAGGCAGTTATTTAAAAGACTTGTTTCTTTCGGTTCTGTCCCCATCTGGAGTCCCCTTTCCCAGCCTCTGCCCAGATCTCAGGCTATCGGTGGCTTTAAGTGCACAATTTTCTGTTAGGGTAACTAACTCGGCGAACCTTCACCTTTAAAACGGGGGGGGGGGTTCCCAGGACAAGATGCCACGGCCTCAGTCACACAAAGAGCCAAACTGCCTTAGAAGGCTTAGACTTAGGCCTTTTCTTCGAGGATCTTATACTTGAGAGGACGAAATAAAACAATGTGCCCACAGGAAGCTAACCCAGGGTGCTGGAGGTTAAAACCCGAGCCACCAAATCTCTGGTAGGAAAAGCAACGGCTTTTGATCATTGGAAGAAAAGAGAGAAGTTATTTTTGACCTGGAGTGCTTAGAGGAGGGTTTTAGGACGGAGGGTGGAATAAACCGAAGCCAAAAATAAAATGCATGATGATCGCCGACAACAGAGACAGCTTGTTGCTTTTGCTCCACCACGTCTGGCAACGCGCATTTACGCGTAGCATCTCACTGAATTCTGCAACCTCCGTGGGAGGCAGGTGTTAGGAGCCTGACTGTCTGTCCATTCGAGGTTCTGAGGGGTGGGGGGTCTTCGTCCAAGTTTACCTAACCCAGCAAGTCCGCAAGAGGAGCTGGGATCTGCCCTTGAAGTCAGGCTCCAGAACTCCCCCCCTCAAACCACTAAGCTCCCTTGGCCGAGAGGGGTAGCGGGAAGGCATTTCGGGCCGGGGGAACCCCATGGGGTGGAAGGCACGTTTTCTAGTCGTTGCCAGACAGACAGAGTTGGACTGGAATGACAAGCCTAGAGGGTTAGCACGCCTGCGCCCCTGCAGCTTCCCAGCTAACCCCGGGCAGAGACCCTGGGGAGAAGGTGGACACGCACTCCCCTAGACTACCTGCCACTAGCAGGTAGTGGGGCTGACCGTGGGGCAGGGCTGCCGCTAGGGGGAGGCAAGCCCGGTGACTGAGGTACTGTCGTGCGCTGCAAAATGTAAGGGACAGGCTCAGAACTGCAGATGCTCGGTGCTGAAGGTGGGCTGGGCGCCGCAGCGCTGGGAGCTCCAGGGCTGGGAAGACGGCTGGGACGCCGGGTCGCTTGCGTCGGTCGGGGCGGCGCGCGCTGGGTCCTCCCGCCCCCCGGGTACCGGCAGGGGTCGCGCTTCTGCGGCGTCCGCGCGAGACGCAGGCGGCGCACCTGCGCTCGGGGGCGGTTGCGGAGGGCGTTGGGCGGAGGCGCCGCCGCGGCTGTGGACTCGCGTACCTCAGCGGCGGACGGTGAGTGTCCGGACCTCCCCATCCCCTGGTCCTCCTCCCCGTGCCCCGCGCTCGGGCGGCAGCTCCCCCCACTCCCGGGGAGGAGAAAGTGCGCCCCTGTCCTCGCCCCCCCCCTCAAAAAACCACGCACACACCAGAGTAAGAGCGCCTTCCCTCTAGTGCGAAGCCCACGCGGAAGCCCACGACGACAAGTTACACAGAAAGACACTCTTGGGCGTTTTATTTGGACTGTGCGGTCTTGGAAAGCAGAGGCTCGGGAGGCAAATGTTTGGTCCTAGTCCTGACTCGTCCACTATTTATTTGTTGTGAGACTGACTGTCTTATTAGTCAGTGGGGCTGCGATAACAGAATGCCACGGACTACTGAGTGACGGAGATTTCTTTCTCACAGTTCTGGGGGCTGGAAGTCCAAGACCAAGGCTCCATGCAGAGTGGGTTCACAGACCCCCCCCCTCCCCCACTTCTTCTTGCTGTGTCCTCAAGGGGCGGAAGGGGTAAGGGAGCTCTCTGAAGCCTGTTTCTAGCACTAATCCCATTCTCGGGACCTGTGTCCCCAGGACGTAATCACCTTCCCTAGGCCACACCTCCTAATACCATCCCCTGGTTGTTCAGTACTTTACATATGAATTGGGGGGAGAAGAGGATGCAAACATTCAGCTTATATTAATGGCCTAACGTAAATTGCTGGATTTCACTAAGCCTGTTGCCTCATCCATAAGAAAAGGGATCCTACTTGGACGCCTTTCAGAGAGTGAGGGCAGTATTTAAATTGCCATAACATAGTAAGTGCTCAATAAACAGCTGAAAGGGATGCAGGGGTTAAGTAGCTCAAGGTGTCTTCGTTTTGCTCTGTCAGGGGAAAAATTGCACTGGAAAGTTAAACAGACAAGGAAAACATGCAAGGCTATGGGAATAGGGAACAGAGGCCAGAACTCAGCCTGAGTATTACCTGAGGGGCGCAGTCCCCTTTTCCCCAGGACCCCCAAGCGGAGTCCTTTTCCGGATATCGCCCAGCCAATTAGGAGACCGAAAGTGAGCGTCAACAGCGCAAGCTTTATTCAAGGGTCTTGTAATTGGCCTCTCTCCACGGAACAGGAAAAGAACTACCCCCAGCCCCCCACCCCGGGCATGGGGTCCTCGAAAAGGGAACTGAGATAGTGGAGAAGTACTGGGGGGGTCTTAGGGAGCAGGTTTTCCATACAACCCATTGAGTTATTTCCTGAGTTTGCAGGCCTCTTCTCTGCGTTTGGGCCAACTGTGTGCTGGCTGGTGTCTGTGGAAGCTGGCTCCTAGCTCCCAGAGCCTGGGGATGGGGATGCTATCTTCCGTGGTGATTACCTTTCAAAGCATGACTCCCAGGTCCTTGTGAAAGACATTTTTGGATTGTAAAACAGAAAAGAGGCTTTAAAAAAGATTTCATTTACATATATACATATACATATACATTATATATACACACATTTTTTTTCCAAAAAGACAGAAAAATAATTTATAATTGGAAGCATTCTAAAGGAAATGCTTTAAGAAAAGGGAGGTGAGGGGCAGCTGGTGAGCTCAGGTGGTTAGACCGCAGGCTCATAACACCAAGGTTGCTGGTTCGATTCCCTACATGGGCCACTGAGCTGCACCCTCCACAACTAGATTGAAACAACTGCTTGACTTGGAGCTGATGGGTCCTCGAAAANAACCCACTGCAGCAGGGGCTGCAGCCTACGCCGTCGCCAGCGACTCACGGCAGCCCAGCTCCAGGTTGAGCTGTTGTTCAGCATCTTAGCTGTAAAGGGCAGCATCACTGGCCCTCATATAGGGGATCCAAACCGGGGCCCTCTGGCATCCCAAGTCAGCTCTTAACCAACGCGCCACTCGGCCGGCCCAAGAATTTTTGTCATTTGGTTTAAATCTATCTTCCTTATATGGGAAGATAGATTTTTAAAATACAGTTTCCTAAAAAAAGTTAAAGTACTTATGTTTATTGTTAAAATTTTATGAGTATACATGGAGTTGAGGGTTCTGCTTCACTCTAAACTCGTACTTTGCTTTCAGGGGTCCTGAAATCCTGTGTACCATTTTGACACATTTTAAAGTATTTGGTCGCTGAGTCACCGGCAGTGGCGTAGGCTGCATCCTCTGCTGCAGTGGGCTGCCATGCTACTGTGAGTGGCCGGCTGCCAGTGTGAGCATCCAGCAGCCAGTGTGAGCGGCTGGCAGCCCCGAGAGCTGTTGTGAGCAGCCGTCCAGTAGCTGGCGACAGACTGCCTCACCCGGGAAGAGCGCAATGATAATACCAACATGGGCCAGTGAAGCGACGTCCTCCACAGCTAGACTGAAGAACAAAAGGACAGCAACTTGTGTGTTCCCCTTCCCCCAATTCCCCAATAAAATCTTTTTTTTAAAAGTAAATAAATAAATAATTGGTTGCTACTGTTACTGTGCAGCTGAAAGTTCTGTAAAACATGTGCTGTGTAAACAGAATCTTGCAGTCAAGCTCATTGTTATTGGCTTTCTAAAGAAAAAGCTGTTTGAACACTGTCCTTTTAAACTGGGAGCCTCTCTCCGTGAAACTATTCTTTCTCCTCCCTATCAGTTCTGGTTTCTGTGTATGCTAAAGTAGAAATGAAATACTAATTTATCTGCTAAGTTCATGTATGAGAAGTAGCACTTCTAATAAACCGAAATACCAGAGTACCTTTTCGTAGGGCAGATCTAACTCTTACATAAGTTCACTTAAACACAAATTATGTTCTTAGTATAAGTGGTGATTCACAGGAGTATGCATGCGATCTAGGGGTTTCACAGTGATCTAAGGAGCTGCTCCATAATCAGTTGGCCTAAATCTAATTTCTTTTTTTTGTTTGTTTGTTTAAAGATTTTTATTGGGGAATTGGGGAAAGGGGAACAGACAAGTTGCTGTCCTTTTGTTCTTCAGTCTAGTTGTGGAGGACGTTGCTTCATCGTGTTCAATTGCCGGGCGTCTAATTTCATTGTTAACCTTCAGCCTTTGCCAAAAAAAGTGAAAAATTTTAAAAAAAAAAAAAAAAGGGAGGTGAGAGCCCAAAGCCAGGAAGAGCCTATATAAAGGTTAGTTGAGGTCAGAGGAACCTTAAAGCCATCTTAGTCACCTCATTTTTTGCAAAGTAGACAAGCTTTAAAGGATGTCTATGTGTCATTGGTAGTAAGAAAGATGCTATGTCACCCCCAATAAACTTTAGTTTAAAAAAAATATGCTATGTTTCCTTCAGAATGTTCAGTGTTTTCTTTTGTTTTTTTAAGAAAAGGAAAAGAAGTAAAATATTCTAGTGACTGTAAATCTCATTCTAATAACTTAGGACCGTAAGCAATATAATTGCCGAATTTTCAGTAACTCCATTTAATTGTTCTTTTGAGCCCACACTTCAGTCAGTTGCCCTAAAAGTTTTCAGACCCTTTAGGTTGGTTTGTGCCCCGTTCTACTTCCTCCCCCTTTCTACCTCACTCCCACTCCTGAGTTGCACCCAAGTTTTGGGGGACAGGAGTGGGAGTGCATTTATTTAGTCTTTAGGATGTCAAAAATGCAGAAAGAGCAGAAGTAAAACCAGTGGATCACCGAGGTAGTAATTAGTAAAAGTTCGTAGTGCACACACCAAAAAGACAATTTGCAAACAGGGAGCTCAGACCAAGCCAGGAAATGATTGGGTATATTGTTATAAAGCAGCTTTCCTGTGAAAAGGCAGCGACTGGTTATTCTTCACATTGATTGGTTATAATGTTAGAATTTTCTTTGTAATAGGGAATTGATCAGGGTTACCTCATATCAATTTTGGGAAACAGTTTAAGTTTTGTTTAGGATTTCCAGAGGCATAAGCAAAAAAAAAAAAAAAAAAAAAAAAAAAAAAGGGAGGTGATCGGTTATTAGCTCAGTTGGTTAGAGCATGGTGCTGATAGCACCAAGGTTGCCAGTTAGCTCCCCGCATGGGCCACTGTGAGCTGCGGCCCTCCTTAAAAGAGTCAACTATGGGGCCGGCTGAGTGGCTCAGATGGCTAAGAGTGCGAGCTCAGAGCAACAGTGTCGCTGGTTCAATTCCCACATGGGCCAGTGAGCTGCGCCTGAGCTGAGCTGCCAACAGGCGGCCAAATGGTGACTGGACTTGGAGCTGAGCTAGCTGCGCCCTCCACAACTAAGATTGAAGGACAACAACTTGGCTCTTCCCCTTCCCAATTCCCCAACACTGTCCCCCTTCCCCAAATCCCCAATAAAATCTTTAAAAAGAAAAAAACTGCAAGAATCCTCAGTTGTTTTGGCAAAAGGAAAGGAGGAAGGAAGTTCGTATTTAGCATCTCCAAGCAAATAAGTGACCAAGAGGAGACTGGACTGAAGATGTGGCTGATTATAAGACGTGTGCTGTTTTCATTATGCACGTTGCGTTCTTCCAAGAGGGAGAAGCTGGGAGTCTTTACTTACTGCTGACATGTGTCAGGCCAGGGCTTCCCAAAGTCAGCTATGCGGAGGACTGGTTCTTTGAAATGCTCCTGGAATATCGATTTCTAGGCAGTTATCAAAATGCCCACATCATATGTGTACATACAGTTAAAGGAATTCTCACACACCCAGATCCCCCCTTATGCATCTTAAGTCACTAGGCTCCGGAAGGTAACCATCAGACTTCCAAAACCTTCTAGTAGTTTTAGGTAGGCATTTAAAAATAAAACTTTTTGCCAACAGGTGGCAGGATGGCTCACCTAAAAAAAAATTAAAAAAAATAAAACTTTAAAAAAGTAACATATTGGATGGAGATAGTCTCAGAGACACAGAGGAAGAACTGAGGGTTGCTAGTCGGGAGGGGGTGGGGATGAAGGAGAAGGNAAAAAACATGACCCAGGTAAACTTAGCCTTGCGAAATAAGCTAAGTTAAGCTTTGTTTGTATGACTAAACTGGTTTTGTCTGCTCTGGGAGTTTTCAAGCTTGGTCTCCATTTGTTTTTTTATTTTAACCAGGGCCAGGATGTTGGGGGTGCCTTGGTTTGCGGGACAGGCTTTTTTGGGTCAGGCTTCTTCTGCCCTAAGATTTTCCCAGATCTCTCTGGAGCATAGTGAAGGAGGTGGGGTGACAGAACCCTGAGAAGCTTTGTTTTCCTTTCTATGCATTATTTCAAATTGATTGCTTTACCCAAGAAAGGATAAACTGAAAGAACTGGCCTCTATCTTTTTAGGCTTAGGTGTTGCTCTCTTCTTCCTGAGACAGGAATAATATTTCATCGTCTGGATGGACCACAGTTTGTTTTTCCATCCATCCACTGAAGGGCCTCTTACTTGGTTGCCTATAAGTCTTGGCAATTATGAATAAAGCTGCTGTAAACATCCCAGTGCAGGTTTTATATGGACATAAATTTTCTACTCCTTTGGGTAAATACCAAGGAGCATGTTTGCCAGACCGTATGGTAAGAGTTTGCTTGGTTTTGTAGGAAACCACCAACGTGTCCTCCGAAATGGCTGCACCATTTTCCATTCCCACCAACAACGAATGGGAGTTTTTGTTGCTCCAGGTCCTCGCAAGCATTTGGTGTCAGTGTTTTAGATTCGGCCATTCTGATAGGTGTGATGTGCTATCTCATTTTAATTTGCATTTCTTTGGTGACATATGATGTAGAGCATTTTTTTATATGCTTGTCTGCCTTCTGTCTACCTTCTATGGTGAGGTGTCTCTTAAGGACCGTAGTCCACTTTTAAAATCAGTTTCCTGTGCTTTTTGACAATCTCTATACCTTTTCTCCCCAGATTTAATCGATATAATTGACATGTAACATTGTATATGTTTAAGATGTACAATGTAACAATTTGATCTATGTATATATGTTTTAAAATGGTTACCAAATAAGTTTAGTTAGCATATACATCACCTCACATAGTTATAATTTTTGTGTGTGTGATGAGAACGTTTAGATTTACTCTCTTAGCAACTTTGAAACATACCATCCAGTATTACTAACTGTAGTCAGCATGTTGTACATTACATCCTCAGAATTTAGTAATTGTCTAACTGAAAGTTTGTACTTTTTGACCACTCTCACCCGTTTCCCCCACCTCTGGCAACCACCAATCTATGATATTATTTTTCTCCAGAGAGGATTTATTTTGGGTGCCAGGCCCCTATAGGCATTTGCAACCTGGGATCACCTCTGTCTGGTATCAGGGATTGAAATGGTTTGAAATTGGGCTGCAGTCCCCGTGAAGGCCAGTCGTTCATCCTTATTTATGAGGTGAAACCCTGAAAGAATGCCTTCCCTTCCTGCCCCTTATTTCAGCTCTCTTTCTGGTGCCCCAAGAAGTTCAGTCAAAGGTTCAAGATCCCATAGTTGGTGGGAGAGCTGGATAATGGACCTAGACAGTCTGACATAGGATCCCAGGTTGTGAAAATCCTACCGTGCCACCCACACCAGGAGGGAAGGACTTTATTTGTTTTGTTTCCCATTGTGCACCCACACGCGACATGGCACATAGTAGATATTCAGAAAATAGTCATTAAATATGAGCATGTGTCTGCTCCCATCAACGATATTGTTACTGCAGGTGGGTATGTCCAATCTCGCAAATTGTTGAGTGGCATTTTGGGCTGACAGGTGTGGTGTGATTTTTACATACTGGTGGTTTTTTTTTTTTTTGGCCAACAGTGATGATTTATTTATTTTGTATTGTTTCTGAGTTAGTTTTTTTTTTAAATTGAGGAACACTTTGTTTTTCCAGGACTCATCAGTTCCAAGTCAAGTAGTTGTTTCAATCTAGTTGTGGAGGGCACAGCTCAGTGGCCCATGTGGGGATTGAACCGGCAACCTTGGTGTTATGCGCCTGCGCTCTAACCACCTGAGCTAACCTGCCGCCCCTCGAGTTAGCATTTTGATACAAATTGGGAAAGCAGCCTGCCAAAGCTACCTGGAAACTTGCATCAATAAGTTGTTGGTCTTTGGTTTGTGCTTGAAGTTTTGTACGTATTGGAAGCTTGATAGATGCTGAATAAATTTAAAAATGTAGGGATCAGTAATTTCTCAAATAGTTTAAATGTTTATTGTTTCTTGTTGTCATCTTTTAAGCTTGATGAGAAAATTAATTCAAATGTCTAAAATGTACACCTTGTTAAATCATCTTAATTTCTTTTTAAAAAATATTTATTTCCTCTGTAGAGTTGAAGAATGGATTTGTCGGGGTTGAACATATTTATGGTTCTCCTGTGGAAGAATTTTATTTTGAAGGTACGTTGAGCTATTGGTAGGATTTTCGCAACATCTAAGAGATCACCACGGGAAAATCCTGACAGCACGATTACTGCATTTCAATTTATGTGTTGTGTTTTTCTCAGTTCTAGAGCTGGGGGTATCTCTTCCCATTATGAAGAGTCCTCCTAGAGTGAAGTGATAGCAGAATGACTCAGGAGAAAAAAGTTCATCCAGGAAACTGCTGCTAACATACGTTGAACCTATATATTTTGGGGGGCCAACTATATCTTTTGTGAAGTGTCTGTTAATATAAAATAATTAGCCATTTGCAGAGTTAATGTCCTCTTAGGATAGTGAACAATCTTTTTTTCTTTTTCATCTCCTAGAGGCGGCAGTTCGTTACTATAGTTGTGGAGGTCATCCTGACATTATTATTTGCTGGTACCCTTTTGTTAACACGCAAGATTACTGCTATCCAGAAGACTGGACCTTTCAATTACTCCCATCAGTCTGTTGATGCGTTGCCTCTGTTCCTCAGAGCTGTCTCTGCTTCTGATCGGTGGGAACTGGCTTTCGTGCCTTCCAAAAGCATCGTGGTGAAGGATATCGTCGAAACCGTGAAAAGGGACATACAGTTGAAATGTAAAGGTTAGAAATGAAAGTTTCCCGGAAAAATTGATTAGTTTAAATTGTTTTAACAAAGACACATTTATAATCTTTGACCTGGGCATAATCTTCCAAGTAAAGCATTGTAGGATATTGGCATAACCAGATAGTAACCTCCTCAGCAAGTGTAATGTTATAGCCTTTGTTAAACTTGAGCGTTCAATTCACATCAAGCATTTTGTCCTAGAGCCCAAAGCAAAGAGTATTTTAAAACTAGATGATCGATTTATATCATTCAAAGTTATTATCCAAGTCTGTGCTACTAAATCTTCCTTGTTTCTGGTGGTGCTGCTTAAACCTGGGTGACTATAACTCTAGGGAGGGGTATGTGACGGTGTACCCAAGGCACAGCATAAACGTGAGCCCTCATTCTGCATGCATACTCAGTGGGCGGTTACTTCAAACATTGTCCATATAAAAATATTGTCCAATTCCTATATGAGTGCTTTATAGAAGACTCCAATATTATAAACGTTCCCGATTCTTTAATTACCCGCCCATTCTCAACCCAAAGCCTCTCCTCTTTCTCCCAGAGGGGAAGACATCGTGAGGGGTTTGGTGAGCATCCCTCCAATGCGCCGTCTCTCTACACACATATATTTACTCAGTAGTGTAATTTTTCAGTCTTTTTTTTTGTCGCTCAAGGGATTTGAGAGTCAAGGACATCTCAAAACATTTTTTTATATATATATTTTTTTTAAACCCACTGAAGCAGAAGAACACAAAATCCCAATAATTTTTAAAGTACGCAACGCAAATATTCTAATAAATGTCATCTCTTACAGGCTACTTTGGGCTGCCCCAAATATTTTATAACTTCTATTCTGACTTCTTTGATGCATAGGAGTTTTAGAAGCGTACATAGCTGAACTTCTAAACCTAGGGGATGTGTTTGTATCTTTCTGTTGTTGATTTCTGTTTTAATTTCCTTGATCCAGGGAGTGTAATTGCAGTTGTTTGACACTTTGAGAGGTGTTTGTGGCTAGTTGATGGTGTATTTGGATAAAAGTTCCATGTGCAATTGTAAAGACTATACACTGTAGGTTTTACTTGTGGTGTTCTGTGAATGTCACCGAGGTCAAGTTGTCAAGTTGTTTAATTGTTATGGTTTTCAAATCTTTTGTCTTCTTACTATCTTTCTTTTTAAAAAATTATTATTATTATTATTATTATTATTATTATTATTATTTTCAGGTGTACAAAACAATGCACTAATTATCCTTTTCACCCCTCACAAAGTGACAACCTCCCTCCCCCATCCACTGTCCCCCCACCCCCAATATCACACATCTATTACAATTCCATTGACTCCATTCCCACATTATACTCCACATCCCTATATATGTATTAAATTATATAACTTATAATATTATAAGTTGACATATAATATTAATCAACGGCAGCTTCAGATGTACACTGCAGCGGTCAGGCCTCTACACTCCATGAAGTGGTCTCCCTGAGAAGACATAAGTCCATCTGGCCCCCTAAAAAATCTTTACTTGTCCTATTGGTTGTTGAGAGAGGTATTAGATTTCCAACTAGGTGTTATTAGCATTAAAAAAGTTATGTATATTAAAATAATATTGAATTTTACTTTTTGCCCATATATTTTGAAATTATTAGGTCATGCAGTCTTTCTGTTGAAGTATTTTTAAAAAAATATTTCTCAGGGCCGGCTGAGTGGCTCAGTTGGTTAAGAGCTCGCTCAAAGGTTTGAGCTCTGAGCAACAGCAGTTCGAGTCCGGCCCGAGCTGAGTTGCCGCTGAGCTGCCAACAGGTGGCAGGATGGCTCAGCTAAAAAAAAAAAAATTTCTCAGTTCTGGAATTTCCATGTATCTCTGTTTGTGATCGATTCCAGGTCTCTAAAGAAGTGTTTCATTTTTCCATGTATGAATCATATTAACTATAGTTACTTTAGAGTCTTGACGAGAAAGTTTTGATATCCGGATTACTTGTGTGTATTGTTTTTCTCTTAAGTCATCAAGCTCTGTTTTATAGCTTGTCTTGTATATTTTAATTAAATGGCAGATACTGTGGTTGAAAAGTATTAGGGGCTCTTAAGAGCATTTCTTTATCCAAAGAAGGTTTTCTTCCTGATGGTTATCAGAGTTCTAATATATCAGTTTGATTCTATCAAAGACTGGTTTTAGGCTTCAGTGAAACTGGCTTCAGTAAGGACTGATCTATTTCAGTTTTCTCTTTACTCCTGAGGGACACCCGCTGTCCTAGGGCACGGTCATTACTCTTAAACCATGGCTTTTATAGGGTGCCAGCTGGAAGTCTGGAGTATTTTTGAAGGCCCCTCTACCTTTCTGGGGCTTGAGCTCCATCCCCTGTCTCTCCAGCATAGCCCGGCTGCTGAGATCACTGCTCAGCGTTTTATCCTGCTTCCTGCTAGCTTGGGGGACCTTATCCTGGGCATGCTCAGTTTAGGAGTTGGCCAGTGACTTCAGGGAAACTGACATGCCGGTTTTTAACCTGACGTCTCTGGTATTCTCTTCTCTTTGCAATGTTGCCTCTCAGGACCCAGCCATTTTGGCAGCCTGCACGCTCACCTCTTTCTCTTCAACTCAGTAAGTCAGCAACTTTTTGCAAATGCTTCCGGGGGCAATACCAGAGTGAATATGGCATTCGCCTTATGCGTTTCCCTTTTTCAAGGCTTGTAGTTCTATGCGTCCTGCTCATTTTTGTTGCTTTCTGGCAGTGTTATAGATTTTGTCCCACTTTCCTGCAGCGGGAAAGTTTAGTCTCATATAAGCTCCTCCGTCACAGCTGAAAGTAGAAGTTGTTGTGTGAGAGTTTTTCAACTTCCTGCTGGTTATTTCCAAGCTTTTTACATTATATTCAGAGCGTAAAGTCTTTAAGATGTGGATTCCTTAGAATTTATTGTTCTTTTGTGGACCTTTTTTTTTTTAAAGATTTTTATTGGGGGGTTGGGGGGATGGGAACAGCTCTGGGGAATTGGGGGATGGGGAACAGACAAGTTGCTGTCCTTTTGGTCTTCAGTCTAGTTGTGGAGGACGTTGCTTCACTGGCCCAAGTTGGCACCATCATTGTGCTCTTCCCGGGCGAGTCAGATCAGTTGCCGGCTTCTGGACGGCTGCTCACGGCAGCTGCTGGCCGCTCACACTGGCTGCTGGCTACACACGGTAGCCCATGGCAACCCACTGCAGCAGGGGCTGCAGCCTACGCCATCGCCGGCAACTCACGGCAGCCCAGTTGTTCAGCATCTTAGCTGTGGAGGGCAGTGTCACTGGCCCTCATATGTGGGATCCGAACCGGGGCCCTCTGGCGTCCCAAGCCAGTTCTTAACCATCGCGCCACTCGGCCGGCCCTCTTTTGTCGATCTTAATCCATGATTAACTTTGATAAAAATTCCTTATGTGCTATGTAACAATATATATTCTGAGTGGTCCTGGACTAGACCCCATGTAGGGATTTATCAGATTTCCTTGCCCTCACTGGGCCTCCGCCACATATTCATGGGGGACCTTGCCAACCTGCCTTCAGCTGATCCTTCAACAGCTCAGCTCACTGAGCCCCCTTAGACCAAAGGATGGTCTTCCATCATTTCCACTGTATTGGGAGCCGTAGCAGCCCCAGTGCCCAAGTCTGACCTATCCTGACATATTGAGATTTTTATTTCCCCAGTGGTTCCCGGGAGACTCCAGGGAACAAAATCTAGAATTCAGGGGAGTTAACACTTCATGGGGAAAAAATATGATTAGTGAGGACAGAGATGGAAAGGATATAACAGGTAGATCTCCTGCTGCTCTTCCTACAAACAGACTATTTTAAGATGCAGTATTTCCAAAGCCAGCCTCTGAAAGACTTCTTGTTACATTTCTTGCTAGGCCAGTTCTAGCTTCATAATGTTCTACCTTGTTCCCCTTTCACGCCTCACTGTCCCAGGACCAGGATGAGGGCTAGACAAATGGGGCACCTCGGGTGTAAATTTCACCCTTGCAGAACCGGCCAGGTGAGCGCCTTCTAAACAGTTGTGCCTTAGGTGCCTCAACTGTGTCATCCTTGTCCTGGTCCTGGCACTACACTTTCCTTTCCCCCTCACTCTTTTGTTGTTCTTTTTTGTTGTTTTTTTTTAACTTTATTGGGTAATACTGTGTTTGTTCCCAGGACCCATCAGCTCCAAGTCAAGTTGTTGTCCTTCAATCTTAGTTGTGGAGGGCGCAGCTCAGCTCCAAGTCCAGTCACCATTTTCAGTGTAGTTGTGGGAGGCGCAGCCCACCATCCCATGCGGGAGTTGAACCGACAACCTTATTATTAAGAGCCCGCGCTCTAACCAACTGAGCAATCTAACTGCCCACCAGCAGCTCAGCTCAAGTCATTGTCTTCAATCTAGTTGTGGAGGGCGCAGCTCACTGGCCCATATGGAAATCGAACCGACAACCCTGTTGCTCAGAGCCCGTGCTCTAACCACTGAGCCATCCAGCCGCCCTTCCCCTCACTCTTGATACCCTGGGATTCTTTACCACTTAGTGAGGCACTGACATCTCAAGTTCCCTCAGGGAGAAGTGCCATCAGCAAGACAGTATAGACTAGGAGGTCCCTCGCGCGGCGATATTTGGCAGCCATCCGTGGACAAAAGTGCCTCTGTGGGAACTTTGGGATCCATAAGGAGCTCGCAAAAGCCTGGTGGAGCCCAAGACTGAGGAGGGCCATTATGAAAAGGCAGGCCCCTAACGACAGCAGGCTCGCTTACCGTGACCCCAGCCACACACCCAGAAGCGGCCCCGCCCCCCTGTGGACTCAGTTCTCATCCTGTTTGGCCTTGGTTCTGCCATCAGTATCATTGCCCAAGGACCCGGGAGGAGTCACACGCACCAGAGCCTCAGGCAATGGGCCCGCTGACCTTGGTTCTGGCCCTGGCCCCTCTCAGCCGTGGGCCAGGAGCTGTCCTGCCCACCCGGTGACCCATTCAGTCACCCAGCGGGGGTCACACCTGTCCAGGCACCTGGTAAGAGGCAAGCCCCTGAGCACATGGTGGCTACGACGTCCCCGCTTTTACCCTCGATTTCAAACACGAGCTGGGCTTCCATCCATGAACAAAGTGCCTCTGTAGGAGCCTGGAATCCAGAAACAGACGTTGATGGGCCTGGTAGGAGTACCACGCACGTGTTCATCCAGTGAAGGACCAGCAGACCACAGGATGGCTGTAAAACGAGCAGCAACAGCAGACCTGCCCCAGACCCTCCCGGCTGTGGCTGGGGGAAAAGTCAGAGTGGGGACTTCAGTGAATTCCCACCGACGAGAGAGAACCCGTACAAGTACAACCCAGTGGAGAGGAGATCCCAGCATGCCCTCGGAGAAACAAACAAATGTACAAACAAAAAATGAGTTTGGATGCAACAGAGAGGGTAAGACACTTTGCCGGTGCTGCCTGTCCCATCCCCCAAAGTGACACAGCGCGGGACTGAACTATCCGATGCCTAACTGTCCCGTAGCGGCAAGGAGAGCACTGAGTGCCCGGCGCCTCACTGCACAGGACGCTACTGGAGAGCCCTGTTTGTCTCCAGCAGCGTGCAGAGGAAGTAAGGCTGTGGGGCCTCCATGACTGGGGGCAGAGAGGGGGGCAGGGAAGCGGCAGATAAGGGACATGGCTCCTGCTGATGCATTCGGGACCCCAGCAGCAAGTCTGCCCATTGGCCTCTGGCAGAACCCCACGGAGGACCTCCGCACCAGGCCTGCAGGCACCTCAGCACTGCGAGTGCTCAGCCCACACTGCCTCCCACTGTGCTGTGTCCCTTGTACACATTGTAAGTGTGGCGGCGAGAACGAGGTCGGGATGTGAAGTGCTGTTCGAAAAGCAGAGCAGGACCTGTTGGCCGAGGCGGGGGCCACAACCTTGTTTCTGGAAAACGAGAGGTTTCCAGCAGCGCTCCAGCGAGCTGTGAGAACCAGAGAAAACGCAAAAGCTTGAAGATGCCACAGTCGCCCGGGAAGAGCGCAATGATGGTGCCAACTTGGGCCAGTGAAGCAACGTCCTCCACAACTAGACTGAAGAACAAAAGGACATCAACTTGTCTGTTCCCCTTCCCCCAATTCCCCAGCGCTGTTCCTATCCCCCAATTCCCCAATAAAAATCTTAAAAAAAAAAAAAAGTATGCTGCCACAGGAGGGAGCCAGGTGCAGAGCAGGTATATAAATGCCAAGGCAGGGAGAGCCCCACATGTGACAGCGTACCCCACCTAAAAGCAGTGAGTAAAGATCCGAGGTGTGTGCAGTGCAAAACTGTGATGAACGTGAAGGATCGAAACGTCCCATCATCACAGAAAGATGCCCTTTCAGTAACTGAGCTCCAAGACATGGAATTCTTTTGAGGAAACTAAATGAAGTACAGAAAATAGACAATTCAACAGGAAAGAAAAAATCACATGAGCAAAATGAGAAATTTAGCAAAGACATAGAAATAATATAAAAGAACCAAACAGAAACTCTGGAGATGAAGAAGAATTCAATTCATGAATGCAATAAAAAAAAATGTGAGAGAGAGCGCATTGGTAGCAGGGTGGTCAAAAGAAAGACAAAACCAACAAGCTGGAGGGCAGGGATTTTGAAGTAACCCAATCAGAGATGAACAGAGAAAAAGACTCAAAAAGAGTGAAGATAGCCTTCGTGATCTATGAAAGTCAATCAAACATATAAATATTAGAGTAATCAGGGTTCCAGAAGCAGAAGACAACAGAGAGAAGGGAGCAGAAATATTAATAATAAGAATGCATGAGCTAGGGGGTGACCAGTTAGCTCAGTTGGTTAGAACATGGTGCTGATAACACCAAGGTTGCGGGTTCGATCCCTGCATGGGCCACTGTGAGCTGTGCCCTCCTTAAAAGAGTCAACTATGCCATTGTAGCATAAAAGCAATGTGCAACCAATGACCATGGCTGTTCCCCAACAAAAATTTTTTAAAAATGCATGAGCTGCAAGTAGCAATCCCATTTATTTTGGAGAAAAAAAAAAGATATCCTAATCTATGCTATTTTCATTTTATTTCCTGTGTTTCTATTTAGTAATGAAAATTGATTTTTAAAACTAATAGAAAATGCCCTTTTCTTTTTCTCCCATTAAGTCTCTCATTTACATTAAATTCAAGTATTGTATATTTTCCTGAAGATTTTTCAAATATATTTGTTTTGATTTTTTTTTTTTTAAAGAATGCATGGAACTTCACTTCCACCTACTGGCTGTTGAAGTCTTTAGCATCCTATATACATAAAAAAATACGTTTACTCCCAAGAAAATAAGTTTACAAACATATATATAGGTATTTAAATGACTAAGTTTTGTATCTTAGGAGGGTACAAATGACGCCACATTTAAAAAAATTTAGGTTAAATTTAATTAAGCTAATTAATTAATGGATCATCTCAAATAATTGAAACATAATTGCCTCAAATATTAAAACTACAGTTATTTTGTTCCTCGACTTCAGCATAGTTTTATTTAAATATTGGATATTCCCATGGTGAATAGATTGCATAGATCAATTTTGTTCTTATTTCCCTTGAAGGTGGAAATTTCAAAACACAGTTGGAAGCACCCTCTTCCTTAGGTTCACTTCAGTGTATAGTTATTATAATAAGGAATTATATTTTAAGCTTGTGATAAACCTGTTAAAATGCCTAAAAAATTGTATGCACTCCAAATATCTATTAGTTTGTTATGTCAATGTTTGAGCAACAGTGCTTTGAAATTGATAATATTTTGACAGCCTTTTATCCATGTAAAGTGTTTTCCCACTTTCTATATAGGAAGGGCTGTCAGACCGTTGGCCTTTATGTGGTCACTTCACTAACTGGATTTTTCTCTCTCTCCAGTTCAGGGCTTTCCTTCAGAAAGAGACTTTGAAGATTACGTGAAGCAAGAGAAGAACTCTAGAAGAGTGTTGGTTGCTTTTGTTTTTGACCATGAGTTCAAAAATACCGATGATCCCCTGCCACTCCAGGTAAGCAAGTTTGACGTAGAAACCCCATCCCTGTACTTCTCGTTTGCAGAGATCTCATGAAGCACAGGTGTCATGATTCCCTTTTAAAAGTGGGGAGACTGTCACTTATCCCAGGTCAGATTGCTTGTACATAGCAGAGCAGGGATGCCAATACACATCCCATGCACTTGAGTGCCCGTGCATTTATTCAGCCAGTGCTTTGTGCTGATGGGGAAAGAACTGAACTCACTCCTAACAGCCCTTCTATGTATCAGTGAGAATCCTAGGAAACACCAATGGCTGAGGGTTACCTTTGCCGCTGCATCTGGCATGGCAGCTGTCTCGGGCTGTGCACGTGATGTGATGGTGAAGGAAACACGCTTCCTAGGTGTGTCTTCACCAGCCGAAACACAGCCGGAAAACGTTCCTCTTTGTTTTGAATGAATCCCGTCATTTCTTTCCTGAGTCTGAATCGAGGAAATAGTGCTAAGGCTTAGCCAGGCTGAACCACAAGTGGGACTTCTGCAGACACAAGAAAGGCTCTGATAATGGCTCCCAAGAAGGAGAGACAAGGACAGTGCTTTGAACTTGAGGTGTCTCCCGAGTTAGGAGAATAACCGAAGCGTGGTGTAGACACATGCGTGGAGCCCAAATTCTGCATCTAGGTTACAGGTGGTTGTCAACTCCATGAAAAAGGACGGACAACCACTGGGTTGTACGTAGGGTGGTGGGAATGTTTTCATTCTGTCCCATCTCTCCCCACTCCTTTCATAGACGTCAGCCCCCATCAAGTGACTGATTCCATGTACACTGATGTGGGCTCAACAGTGAAGGGCCGGCCGAGTGACTCAGTTGGTTAAGAGCTCGCTCAAGAGTTTGAGCTCTGAGCAACAGCGGTTCGATGCCAGCCCGAGCTGAGCAGCCGCTAAGCTACCAATAGGTAGCAGGATGGCTCAGCTAAAAAAAACAAACAAACAAACAAAAAAAAACAAACAGTGAACACAGAGCCTGGTCAACACGTTTTTGGAGCGGTTTCATGCTTCTCTTCTGCCTTGTAGAACCTGCCTTACCCTGCCCCTCTCAGCTTGCCACGCTTACGATCCTTAACCCTTTTGCCACGGCAGTTGGATATATCCGAATGAATCTTTCTATCCACTGACTGCGGGTAGAAACTTCCAGAAAGGGAGTTTAGGAAAGCAGATGTACATTTTTCTATATTTTATTTGTATTTGTCAAGAATGAATAACAAGACGAAACTTTTAATACACAAAAATAATGTCATTTATATACAGAGCCGCTCAAATCATTATTATTCAGTGCGTAAAATAGTCAAAATATCAACATTTTGTTTTCTGGGGATGTCTGACACATTTTGGAAAAAAACCTTGAAATCAATTATCGCAGCAAACGAGTTAAGCTTGCTACTGGGACTCTATTAACCCACTTCTTCCCTCCTCCGTACTCCCATACATTTTCTATACATATCTCCATCACTGGATTGGCTATGATGTAAATGTGTTTTTCTTCAACTAGACCTTGAGCTCCTTGAATAACAGGGGCTATATCTTAATCCTTGAACGTGTAATAAGTGCCTGAAACTTTTGTCTTGATAACTGAATTTGTGAATGTTTACCTTGATTTATGACATCTGCCTGTCCCCTCCTGGTCTTATTTCTCTGGTGTGACCCTTCTGACTTTTGGCACCTGTAGGACTGTTGCTGTTGTAAAGCTATTTAGGCCCATCACAATTTAGGTTGACCATTACCCAGTTCTCTAGAATTAGTATCATCTTTCATGTAATAACTAACTCATGTAACAGTCCACATTTAATATTGTAACACATTCCTCCTCTGTCCTCCTGTAGGATTCTTTCGTACAGCTACAAGCACTTTTAGGAGAGCAACAGGTTTTTCTCCCAGAGCGCTTACCTGATAATGGACAGAGAAATGAATAACGCCTTTCAGTGTATTTCATTTCAACATGCCCACCAGCCGGCTGTCTGTTTAGGGAAAAATGCAGCCGTGGCTCACAGTGGCCTTACGACCACTGCGCTCTCACTTCCTGGTGCTGAGACTCCGCTTTGGTGCTTCTTAGACTGCCTCCCAATCGCATATTTCCCATCATGTATTTGTACTTTAACTTCCTTTTGTTGCTCACCCTTGCTGAATTATTTTTTTTTGTTTACAGATGTTTGTTTGTTTCTTATTGCTCTTGTAGGTAAACTATTATCTGCGTTTTAGTAGTTTTCAGAGGAACAGGTATGTGGGTTTTACCCGATACCGAAGCTGGGAGATAGATGTCCTCTTTCCAGCTTCTCCTTCGATGGGACCCAGAAGCGAACAAGACTCAAGTGGGGGGATTCCTGGTGAGCAGATCTTTAACCATACTTATTTGAATGATCCTAGTTTTGTAGTAAGAGCCATCGCAGAGTTATACATCTTCAACCTTGTGATGAAAATTATTTAGTTTTAACTGACTATCCTGGTGATTTTTTTTTTCATTTAAAATTATCAGTGTCCAAAACCCTGTATGAAAAACCCTGTACATTGGAACAGTGTGTTTTTATACTTTCTTGATCATTATCATTGTATAGCCTCCTATTTTCGTGTAGATTTACTTATGAAATTTTTACTTTAACGACTTACTATACACATTTCCAGGTACTGACACAGACTGAATAATTATAACTGTGTGGTATTCTGTTGGGCTGATGAAAAACTCTGCTTTTACCAACAATAAAGCAGATTTGCCCTGAAAAAATTATCCAACAAGAGAAACAAGCTGTAACCATTCAGCGTAACTCTTAAACATTTGAAATGACCTATGTCTTAAATATGGTAAATGAACGATAGAAGTATAAAGTATAATTTGATGGACAATTATGCAGTCTTTAAAAATAGAGCCGCACTTTGAGATACACATTGCATATTCATCAGCACAAAACTAGGACAGACATCCAAATATGAAAATATTTGCTATGTCACGGTGGTAGGATTGTGTTGCATATTCGTTATTTTCTTTACAAAACATTGTGGATGATTTTTTCAGTCATACAATTTAAAAGGCAATCGTGTCTTTTTCAGCTTACATTACTGCATTATGAACTTAGCCTGGGGTGTTACTTTCTAAGGGTGAGACTGGTAAAAACAAAACAAAACTGAGAAAGCTGGATAATGCTAAGAGTCGCCAGGGATGTGTTTCTAGAAACACAAATGCACTGTGGGAGGGAGGGTGCATGAGCGGCGGCAGCCATTCTGGGGAGTGGTCTGGCAGTGGTGGTTGTCTCAATCTCTGTTGGGGTGCTATGACAAAATACCACAGACTAGGTCGTTTGTAAAAAACACATTGATTTCTCATACCTCTGGAGGCTGGGAAGTTTAAGGTCAGGGTGCTAACTTGCATGGTCATATTGTGTTGACGGCCCCCTCCTTGGTTCATGGTCTGTGCTTTTTTGCTGTACCTCCATATGGTGGAAGAGGCTAGGGGTCTCTCTGCAACCCTTATTCTAAGGCACTAATCCCATTTATGAAGCCTCCACTCGCATGACTTCAGCACCTCCTAAAGGCCCCACCTATTAACACCATCACCTTTGGGGGTTAGGATTTCAATGTATGAATTTGGGAAGGACACAAACATTCAGAGCATAACAATAGCCAAATTAAGACAATGTTACACAATGCAATCTATAGATGATGTGTTATAGAAATGGACACTTGGGGCCGGCCAAGTGGCTCAGTTGGTTAAGAGCTCACTCAAGAGTTTGAGCTCTGAGCAACAGCGATTCAATTCCTGGCCTGAGCTGAGCTGCTGCTGAGCTGCCAACAGGTGGCAGGATGGCTCAGCTAAGAAAAAAAAAAGAAATGTACACTTGAAACCTATATAATTTTACTAACCATTGTCACCCCAATAAATTTAAAATTCTCATTACAGATCAATAGGTGAACATATACAATCAATGTTGATGATAGAGAACATTAACTTTGAATCCCAATAAAGCAAAATGTTATTTTCCCAAAAGATTAAAAAAAAAAAGAATATGCTCCTGAGTATAAACACTAAAAAAATCTGTTACGAATTCATAAGAAGAACGTTCCTGACGGTGTTGTTTGTGGTGATAAGGAGCAGGAGGTGATCAGGGCATCTGATTAGAAAGACTGTTCTAGGTGTATGCACAGCAGCATCTTAAAAATGTAGAACTAAGCGAATGAAGTTTAGAACTCAGTTTCATTTATGTAAAATATATGCAAACAAAATGCGAGTATAAATTTTAGAAGAACACATGCAAACATAAGGTGACGTATAAGACAATCACAAGAAGGCTCTAAAAGATGGAAACAAGAAGCCAGACCAGCTGGCACCTCTGGACCCAAGGGACATTATGGTGCTAAATTCCCTGGTTTCCTTTTTGCTGCATATCTCCCAGACTTGAAGCTGAAGAAGCCAGCCACCCAGAAATGTCAACAGGTTCACACCAGAAACTCCAAAAAACCTACATAGGACCAGGAAAGGGGCAGCCAGCAAGACAGACAACTTTTAGACAAAACCACTGTACAGCAAAAGACAAATGGGGACGTTTAGACTAAACGTTTGTGAAGCTTAATAAAATGCCTCAACATAGCCACCTGTTAAGAAGACTAATTCAGGAGGTGGGACATTCATACCTACTGACTTCTAATAAGAACCCCCCCCTACCTCAAGTATCAGTGGAGAGCACGAGGGGCGTAAGGACTTCCACGCTGCCTGGCAGTAAAATAAATCTCAGTGATTCCATATTGATGGAAAGAAATGACTGAATACATAAATGAATGGGGACCGACAAATAGCTTACAGAAGAATTCCAAACAATATATGTAGCTACTCCCCCATGATACTCTGAATTCAATATAGTATCCTGGGTGGCATCCTAGAGGAGAAAAAAAAATCACATAGGGAAAAACTGGTGAAATCCAAATAAGTTTGTATAACTTAGAAATTGTATTGTGCCAATGTTAATTTCTTAGTTTTGACAAATGTACCTTGGTAATTTCATAAAATTAGAGAAGCTAGCCTCAGGGTGTACAGCAATATTTCTCAATCTTTTTTTTTTAATTGCTGCCCTTCTAGGGGAACTTTGTAGACTTTTTTTTTCTCCTAACTACTCGCTTCCCTTATGAAATTTTAGTACCACTGATACACTATAGATCTGCTCTATGCACCGCAACCCATTCGAAGTACGATAGGGCCCCCTGCTGACAATGCATGGTATATACAACTATTAAAATTAAACACTTCAGTTCCTATGAAAGGTATTATTTTTAGTATATGTGCTGCCGAAGCATGCTCCGATGTTCATTGCAGCTTTATTTATGGTGGCCAAGACATGGAAACAACCAAAGTGTGCTTCGATAGATGATTGGATAAAGAAGATGTGGTGTAGATACACAATGGAATGCTATTCTGCCATCAGAAAAGATGAAATCGGCGAGCGAGCGAGCAAGGTTGCTAGAGCGAAGCAATGCCTAAATCAAAGGAACTTGTTTCTTCAAGCTCTTCTGGCCGCGATTCTGACAATGAAGTCAACAAAAAGTTAAAGAGGAAAAAGCAAGTTACTCCAGAAAAACCTGTAAAGAAGCAAAAGACTGGTGAAACTTCAAGAGCCCTGCCGTCTTCAAAGCAGAGTAGCAGCAGCAGAGATGATAACATGTTTCAGATTGGGAAAATGAGGTACGTCAGCATTCGAGACTTGACAGGGAAAGTCCTAATTGATATTAGAGAATATTGGATGGATCCGGAAGGTGAAATGAAACCAGGAAGAAAAGGTATTTCTTTAAATCCTGAGCAGTGGAGCCAGCTGAAGGAACAGATTTCTGACATTGATGATGCAGTAAGAAAACTGTGAAATCAGAGACATATAAACCCTGTACTGTTTAGTTGTTTTAATCTGTCTTTTCACATTGGCTTTTGTTTTCTAAACGTTGTTTTCCAAGCTATTATATATTTGGATGGCAGAAGAATTTGTAAGAAGAATACTTTTTTTTTAAATGTGCATTATTAAAAATGTTCTGAGTGAAGCTAATTGTCAACTTTATTAAGGAAGATTGCTTTGTGTCCACCGCCTAGTGTAAAATAAAATCAAGTACTACAATCTTAAAAAAAGAAAAGAAAAGAAAAGATGAAATCATGCCATTTGCGACAACATGGATGGATCTTGAGGTTATTATGCTAAGTGGAATAAGTCAAACAGAAAAAGTAGAGAACCATATGATTTCACTGATATGTGGGATATAAACCTGAAAACAACAAAGGAACAAGACAAAGAAAGAAAGAAACAAAAACTCATAGACACAGACAACCATTTAGTAGTTACCAGATGGTAAGGGGGGAGGAGGGTGGTCGATGTGGGTAAACGGGGTCAAATATATGGTGATGGAAGGAGAGCTGACTCTGGGTGGTGAACACACAATGTGATATATAGATGATGTATTACAGAATTGTACACCTGAAACCTATGTAACTTTAGTAACCATTGTCACCCCAATGAACTTTAATTTAAAAAAAGACACTATTAAAAAATTAAAAAGCAAAATTCAGAGGGGAGAAAATATGACACATGATTCACATTCAAAATGTATACAGGACTTGTAGAAAAAATAGGTTTTAGATGTGATGGCAGTGCCAAATTTCTCCAAAAGTTTTTTTTTTTAAAGATTTTTATTGGGAATTGGGGAGATGGAAACAGTGCTGGGGAATTGGGGGAAGGGGAACAGACAAGTTGCTGTCATTTTGTTCTTCAGTCTAGTTG